TTCGTCGTAGAAGTAAATATTTCTAGTAGTGTTTGCCCCTCCCTCCCCTTATACACATCACAAGACGTGCAATAGGTGACACTGATGCCTGCGTTGCGCGCGCTGCCCACAAGCGCTTGACCACAAGCATCCTAGGATGGGTCTAGGTGAGGTGGTAGTGCTAGATGCTAGAGGCTAGCACCGGAGCTAGGCATTATTGGGGCCAACGCCGTTGGAAGGGGTGAGGAGGGTAGGAGGAGAAGTAGGGCAATACGGACAGGAAAAAGGTGTTTGGTGGGCAGCGCTGGCCACTCTGGATTGTGCGGTGCATCTTAGCCTCATGTCCAACATATGTCGGATGCTTCGTGCTATAGATTTTTGGTTTTCCTCTTGTGTGGTGTCATGACCCCAAGGCTCTTCTTCCTCTCCTTTAAAGCCTCTGTGCCTGCGTCAGCTCATTGTCTCGCGGACCTCCTCCACTGCTCCCTTTCCCGCACTTCCGACATTGCATCGTGAACCTTTTGCTCCCCATCCCATGCTAATGGTAGCGCACCTTCATCTTGACTGCTCCACGACGGCGACGACCGCGCACACTGCATCTCTTCCGTCAGCGCCCCCTCCTCACCGTGCTGGGCCCCGCACACCCACCACCTCCTCCTCCTTCTCCTCCTCCCTATGTTGTGCCAGTGCTCGTGCGCCGTGGTCGCTCTTCCTGAGCCTCGCTCTGCCCCCCTCTAATGTTGGCAGACACACTCCAGCCGCCCCTCCATTGTCGCCATAGTCCCTTCTAGTGCCAATGCCGATGCTCTTGCCCAATCCAACTCTGACTATATATGACCTCACAGGCCACTCTTTTCCAACGCCAGCGGTCGTGCTTCGCCCTTCTCCATGCACCGGCAGTGTTCACTTGGCATGGGTCGTGCGACACGGTGCCAGTTGGAGGATGACAAGGAGAGGGAGGCCGTCGGGGCGGGCCAAAGCTTTACAGAAAGAGAAGAGGTGCCGTTCGAGTGGGAAGCAAGGAAACGACAAAAAATTTGAGTCATCTTTTCACCCCCATCAGTTAGTTGTCGTTACCTCTGAGTCTAAAGGATGGCACGTAGGTCTAGAGAAAAGTTAGAAATGGCACGTCAAGCATTATCTTTTTAGTGGCAAATTTAGAATTAACCATTTTTAAGGCCTGTTTGGTGACTGCACATTCTCCTAAAATTTCTGTCACATCGAATGTTTGACACATGTATGAAATATTAAATATAGACTAATTATGAAACTACTTGCACAACTTGCGACTAATTTGCGAGACGAATCTTTTAAACCTAATTAGTCCATGATTTGACAACGCGGTGCTACAGTGAACATGTGCTAATGACAGACTAATTAAACTTAAAAAATTCGTTTTGAAAATTAGCCTCCGTCTATGTAATTAGTTTTATAATTAATCTATATTTAATACTCTTTATTATCATCTAAACATTCGATGTGACATAAATTTTAGGAGCGACTGGAGAACCAAACGCCCCCTTAGTAGCACGCAATTGTAAAAGAATGTAGTTTCTAGCGTTATGACTGTTCTTATATAGGACGCAAGGTGTTAGCATACCCTCTTCAGAAAAAGCATAGAACCAATCAGAAAAAATGCCCCAAGAAACCGCTTGCCAACTTAACTAACGACTTAACGAGGCAGCCGACTTGTGGCTCCACGCCCACTTGATCGAGAAGGTGGCTGCCATGACTAGGTGAACACAAATCTGTTGTGGTGAGTCCGCCCATGCAAGCTACGGTGATTAAAAAGGCTTCGCGTGTTTCCTAGCTTGTTTGTATTGGTCCTGTTCGCTTTGTTAAAAAGCCAGCCGCTGATTTGTTGGGAGAGAAAAACGTTGTACCATGGCTTCTATAGATGATGATGTACCACATATACACGCGGTACATGTATATTTTTCACGTACGTATCATCAACCACAATGATAGGATGGCAAGCCTATGTACGTACCACCCTACCACACCTACCCCGCATGCTTTTCACGTGTCCCCTTCGTAGAGACAGCAAAGCATGTCAGAAAAAAAAGAGATCCAAATAAACCGTCCACCATTGCAAGATCTGATTCAGCTCCTGCCACCAACTCCACCTCGCGCTCCATTGTCCTGACGATCGCGATCCCATGAAACACCCACACCTCCATGGGTGGCAGATCCTTGGCGGTGAAATCGAATATATAGCTTTTTTGGGCCGAGCTCCGCCGCCGCCGTACCCGCAAAGCTCAACGCTTCACATGAACTCAATGTCTTATATTAGAGTCAGTTTGACACAGCTTACTCTTAGCTTCTTCGAGCGAATTCTATGAAGCTCTACCAAATAATTAAAATATAATTAGATAATGATGAAGAGTTGACACAAATATCTTCTCCATTTGCACTACAAACTGGAAAGCTAAAAATCCCGGCTCTTCATCGTTCCCATTCAATCACCATTGGAATCATTTTTCACCTGTTCCCTGTCCTACTCCCCAACCAGAATCACTCTACTAAAGAATAGGAGTGAAGCTCAATATCAAAAAGTAGAGCTCTACCAAATTGACCCTTATTAGGGTAGTCCCAACCAAAAAACTATGGGATGGTTTCCATACTTGCTAATTAATATAGACACCACCTATGAAAATATGCTCCCAATGGATAGTTTCTACAAATAAAATTTCCATCCAATCATCTATCTTCTTTCTCATAACATCTATCAATCACATATCTTTGTATCTTGGTTTTCGTATAGACATGGCTTTCAATATAAGAAACTATTTCCTTCTCTTTCTTGAGTAACTACAGTGACACATAATGTGTTTTGCTTAGTTGGCACACTAATTAATAGCTATAGAAACTATCTAGTTTCTAGGTTGGGAGTGCCCTTATTAGTAGCTAATTAGTGGTCTTAAAGGAGCTTTCACATTAATTTCCATGAGACGTGCTAGACAAAAAAATCCTAGAACTTCTTACAATAATAAAAATATCTAACCTTTAATTTGATAGCCTCTAAATCATGCTGCTTTATCACCAATTATAGTTGTTGGATCTATTCTATATTTTAAAAATACACATCAATGCCATTATGAAAAACACAATATAAATTTGCATCAAAATTATCTACCTCTGCTATTAAATATAATTTAAAACAATCCCTTAATTTTTCTCTATTTTAAATTTTGATCTTGTCATTTTTAAATACGTAGGAAATGGTAACATCAAAATATTAAAATCAAAATCTAGATTCGTGATATCATAAAATTATATCTCCTAAGGTTTTATCTCATGTTAAAGCACAAATTGATGTACTATTATTAGAAGAAAGAAAAAGACCCGAGAGACCACACGCCACCGGACACGGTGGACAGCGCGTCACACTCTCACCTGATGGAGAAAGCCACAACCATGGCATATTTGGACAACTATGCGAGAAAGACAAAGATGGCGATAGCGGGGGTTATGGGAGAGGGAGAGAATAGATCAGAAGAGGAAGTGAGGAAAGTGTATTTAAAGGGTGCCTTATTTTTCAAGCAGAAAAAAGAATTTTGGGGCTTTATTTATGTTTTTATTTTTTCAATCACAATACAGATGCAAACATTAGTAAGTGCGCGTACACTCATCCTTTATAAGCACCTCCAAAAGGCTGAGCCGATCCATAGATCTTGATAATAACAAAGTCATCGTAGACGTTTTGCTGCCAATAGTTATGTCGCCTACTGAGACGACAAATCTCGATATTGGGGCTGTTCGACAACTAGTTTTTGCAGCCGTTGTTGTTGCTGCTGCTTCAACTGCTGCCTCTCACAGAATCATTATGCTGACAGCTAGCAGCAAACTGATCCATTGATGAAGACACCACAAGAGCTTTGCTGTCAACGATGTTGCCTACCAACGTGACAAATCTCAATATTAACGAAGTGACCGCCTACCAACAAGTACATCGCCTACCACCAAAAGAACGATAACATTAAATCCTAGAGTAAAACCGTTGGAAAAGAGACTTTTAAATCCTAAAATAAATTTCAAAATACTTGTGTCAAGTCGAGGGTTTAGATCCAAGATAATACGAACATTTACATCAAGTCGAGAACTTAAATCCGAATGTATGGACATATCCCACCACGAAGGACACAACCAGTTGAGCTACACTCAATTTAGTTCGGTTATGTTCTCATAAATATATAACAGTACAGTTATATACACAAGTATGTACTCATGCCAGCAAACAAAGTATGTATATTTCGTATATCAATTGAGATAAATATTATTTTCATCTTAAATTATAGGTTAGTTTAGTTTTTTTAAATATATAGTTTGAAAAGTTACGTATTTAGAAAAGTCAAATTGATTTAATATTTGATGAAGCCAAGTGACGTATATAACTATAGCTTTACTATATGTTCAGATGGCGTGAAATGGAAAAACGAAAAAGCAAATCCCCGTAGCTGGACGGTGAGGAGGTCTTTGCCGTGTGCCCGCACCATTTTTGAGCGCGCCCACCAGACACTGTACTCCGTACGTCCGGAGCAGCACCGCTTCCGCGTCGCCGTCGCATGATGCCAACATCCAGCCAACGCTGCCGATCGCGCCACGTCACCCGCCACTCGCAGGATAAAAAAACACCCATTGGCCGCTGTCCATCACAGGTCGCTGTCCACCACCGTAGTAAATGGTGCTGTGGGCCCCCCCGGCACGATACCAAGACCAGCCGATGCATTAAAGTAGTGAAAAATAAATGAGCAGCTCCAGGGGAAAAAAATATTGGCAAAAGGAGCGGGAAGCTGTAAATAATTCCCCGCGAGAGGATCGAAAATTTTCTACCCCGAATTTCTTGATTCCGCTTGGAAACTGCTGCCCCCTTAAATATATACAGACATCGCTGCCCCCCTTCCGCTTTCTCTTCCCTTCCGCTTCCAGTCTCTCTCCCTTTCTCTCTCCTCGCCCGAGAGGCCAAAAACCCAGCCTCGAGTCCTCGCTCCCCGCAGATTCGAGTCATCAGCGCCGCGGCGATGGCGGGCGGTTTCTCCATCAGGTACGCTCGCCTGGAGCCGCCGGCGCCCGCGCAGCTTCTCGGTCCCGGTCGCCTCCTCTCTTTTTTTTTATTTTTATTTTCCTGATCTGCTTTCTGTGACGCTTGTGAAGGGGGTACGCGGAGAGCTTGCGGCGCACGGGGGCGGCGGAGCTCGGCCCGTTTAGTTCGGCCACCAAGGAACTGGCGCCCTTGGAGGTGCGCGCCTTCCGGTGGTGGGAGGACGAGCTCGCGTCCATCAAGGCGGCGGAGGCGGAGAAGGGAGCGGTGGCGGGGGTGGATGAGGAGGAGGAAGAGGAAGAGGCGTCGGGGAACGGCCGGGCGCCGAAGAAGCGCTCCATCACCGACCTCTTCGCGGAGGCGCCTGCCGTGGGCACCGGCAGCGGACCCGACGCTGTCGTGGACGAGGAGGAGGTGCTTCGCTCCATCGTCCGCCGGAGCAAGGATCTGCGGAGGAAGCGGCGTCTGGAGCAAGCGGCGTCGGCGGCGGCGGACGAGCCGGAGACGTCGGCGGCAGGCGAACGGAGTGCGGCCGAGGGGAATTTCCCCAGAAAGGTGCGTGGTCCAGCCCAGCCCGACCCAACCCGACCCACCCCCGTGCCTGCAGCATCATGATATGGTCTTCGTCTTGTTCCAATGTTTTTATTCTCTCCTGCCTTTTTACAGCTGATCGATCTGTGCCTTGCGCGTCACCGCGGTTCAGATTTGGGTGCGTTCGTTAGCATCGGAATCGTTAGATGTTTACATTAATTCCTAGCTATCTATCTCTATCGCATCCGTGTATGATATGGCCCATATCTCGCTGTTACTCCTTCCAGTATTGAAAGTGCCTGATTTGGTTGGTATTTGAGAATGAATGCTTTAGGAGGGACCGGATTAGTTGTTGCTTTATATGACGACGCGGTGGGATATTTTATGTATGGATGGATTATTTTGTGCGCCGATCTGATTGGCGAATCGAAATCTGCTGGCATTAACGCTAGCTATAGTTAGTTCGTGCACACAACTCATGAGTCTCGGTCCTTTGGTTGATGATTTGCTGGTCAAAGTGGTGGCGTGGTACGCGCGCCTCTCATTTTGCTAAGTTGCGTGGTTGTGTTGTCTTTCCTGCTGAGCATGATTACTGCCTTGCTAAGCGCATGACTGTACGTTTCATGTGTGACCAGTGTTATTTCATGCTGAATTTGTCGTTTCCGAGCGATCGACACGGGTGTCACGCGGGTTCAGCACATTGATTATAATGATATCTGCAAGCCAAGATATTTTGTTCATGGATGCTTAGCAATGATTTGTTAGTTTGTGTGGTGTTTTACATGTATGTTAGCGCTAAACTAGTGCTTGCTCGCGACATGCACAGCCCAGCTACCACTCTGCCTCTGGTACTATAGTACACCATCTTACAAATGGTGTGTCCGCATTACCTTTGTCACACAATATATATGCACGGCAGGCTAGCTCCTGCATGTGTGGTGCCTACTGCTTGGTGTCCGTCCGGCCGGCACATTTTCTGCGCACTGGGGTTGGACCCATACACACGCCCGGGACCTTTATCATAGCAAGTAGTGGACGTGATGCAGGCATTTACGAGATCGAGATCTTCTGCATTATTATTCTCTCTTTGCTGTGTGCAAGGGACTTCATCATTGCTTGGGTGATGTGTTCATCACTTGTTCCGGTTCAAGGAAAAAAAATGATAATGCATGCGTGCGTGTATATAACACTGGTCTGGGAATGTCTGGCGTCCAATGCCAAACATGGGAACAGTCCTTAGGTGATGATGAAGTTTTGGAATATATATGCAGCTTTCACCGTATGCATGATATGATGATCCGCTGTCCCTTTGTACTCTTTATTTGTAGATAAACTAATGCACTACACTAGGTAATTAATTAGTTGCCAACTGGATACAGTATGGTATCTTTGATTTCTCCGTCTATACAATACAATAGTTTAATACATGTTAATGGTGAATGTTGTTACCAGTTCATTTGCCAAAGTCCCGTTAGCAGCTATAGGAGCTATAGGATATATCGTGTTGGTGTTGATTTATTCAATACTTTTTATTCAATTTCTAGGCTTGGCTAGTAGCCTGAAATTAAGAACTACAAAATTTATGTAGCAATTAAAGTTGGGTGGGGATAACAAATAAACTAAGCATAGAAAAGGAAGGTATCGTTAAGGAAAGTTCTTAATTCTATTGTTTGCCTTACATTCTCTTTTGTCATTACTTAATTTTGTACCGCATGCTTAGCGCGTGAACCTAACATTGGATGACTTTCTATACTGATTTATGCTTACTTTACTGAACAAACATAGCATTGTAAATGTGTGTGTATTCCCAAGGTGCTTATATTTTCCTTAGTTGTATTACTGATTGATGGTTATATGCTACCCTACTAGATGATTTAGTTTGACTTGTAAAAACTGTCATTTGCACCCTAAAGGGTCCGTCCTCATGTCGATCTAACTACATTTATCATCATTTTCTTATTGGAGATGCCCTCCAATCCAACAAACCTCCATTAGTTCATCTCACTTGGCCCATCATTATACAAGTTTGTGTTGGCCCAACAAGCAACTACAAGCACCCAACCACACCTATGAGGCTATGACTACACTATTAACTTCCCAATCAATGCCGGCATATCTCATGAATGGTTAGGTAGACGCGCAAGTGAGATGCAATGGACGTATTGATAGTGAAATAGTGATAATGTAAAGTATCTTTTTTGGAAGTTCTCATCTTAGCATGTACCCTATTTTCCTTTGGAACAAGACAAGCACTTTCAAGCCATTATGTTTACCAAACTCTACATGTAGTTATCCCTACTAATCACTAGAGTTGCTTACCATGTCTTCCTCTGCCTATAAAATGAACATTCTTAATATGTTGCATATTCGAAAGGTCTTGGATGAGATAATGGTATAGATGGAGAAGCAAGAAGCAACAAGTTGATACACTTGTTCTAAGGAAAGAAGATTTTATAGCCACCCTATCCATGTTGCGATCCATAACCATGCTATATCCAGTACAAAGCAAGGCATGTCTCTACAACCAGAGTTGCACTTTGTAGGGGACCGTGACGTCTAAGAGGGGGGGGGGGTGAATTAGGCAACATAAAAATCTACTTCTTAAACTATGGCCTCTTTTACTAACCTTGGCAAAACCTATACAAAAAATAAACTATCTAAAAGTGCGCTTATGGTTTTGCTAGTGTGTTGCTATCTCTACTGCAAAAGGACTAATACAATGAATGTAAATGCGGAAGCTAAAGAGTAAGGTAGAGATATGCAAACTCCCGTCGACGACTCCGGTATTTTTACCGAGGTATCGAGAAGCACGCAAGCTTCTCCCTAGTCCTCGTTGGAGCCCCTCACAAGGAATCCCTCGCAAGGGTCAAGCTCCCGGTCGAGTAACTCCGTGGAAAGCCTCGGGCCTTTTCCACGCGCAAGTGGGTCTCCGACGTGCCTTCCAGCAAGCCTCTCCCGGATGCTCCCCGCCGTCTTCACTATCAAGCTTCTGGCCAAAACGCCGCGGGCCTTGTTCCCTCCGGTACACGGTGGCGGCCACACCACAACCGTGGTTGGTGTGATCTCGCAAGACTACAAGCCCCTCCGATGTACAACAATGGTGCGCGCAAGCACCAAGTGGTAAGAGGTATGCAAACCTCACTAAACACTAGGCCTAAACCTAGAGCAAGCGCATAAGCGGTGGTCTAATCAACCTAAGCACTTCGCAAAGCACCTACGCTAATCACCTAATGAATCACTAAGCACTATGCAAGTGGAGGTCACTAAAATGGTGTATCAACACCCTTGATATGTTTCCTCAGCTCCATCCACTTCAAATGGCCGGTTGGGGGGTCTATTTATAAGCCCCACTGAGAAAGTAGTCGTTGGGGATGAAATCCCGCTTTTCTGCTACTGACCGGACGCGTCCGGTCGTCCCGACCGTTAGAGCTGCGATCAACTGATCGGACGCTGCCAGCGTCCGGTCACATGCCACCGGACGCGTCCGGTCGCAATCTCGCCGCTCTGGAACCTTTCTGTACTTGATCGAACGCTGCAGTTCTGCGTCCGGTCGTTTTTGCCGCCAGCGTCCGGTCACTGTTGCTGTTGCTGAGCCTCCTGATCAGTGCATCCGGTCGTTTTTCACCAGCGTCCGGTCTAGCGTCTGGTCACCTTTGTGATCTCGTTTCTTCGTGATCTTGCGTACAGCTTGGTTCCTATCTTCGTGCTTGGACTTTGCTTGATATCTTGAGTCTTCTCTTGTGCTCCTAGGGTCTTGCTTATAGTGTTGATCATCACGTCGCCTTCGTCCAAGTCACGTCTTGCACCCTATTAAACTACAAAACAATCACTTGCAAATTCATTAGTCCAACTTGGTTGTGTTGGTCAGCAAACACCAAAATCCAAAGTAAATGAGTATAGGGTCTATTTTCCTTACACACTCAATGTCTCCATTTCCCCTATCTGATCCCATACAACACATAGTTCTTTATTGACATTTGAGCCGAGCTAAAGGCCTCGTGTTATTATTAGCCCCTGGATCACCAACACGGGTGAGCCGACCACTCACCAGCATTGCCGACCACGACACTATCGTTGGCGACCACACTATGGTTAGAGGTAGAAGAAGGGAGGGAGAACAGAGCACGCACACACACAGTACAAGCACCAGCGTTGGTCGGAGCTCTGCAGAGGAGATGACAAAACTGAACTCGCTCTCTTTACTGAGTTGCAGTGGCAAACTATATATACAACTCTACCCATCTAATCCTAGTACACAAACATGTCTGGCTGTCATGTTGCTACAGTGACTAGATGTGACAGTAGGTCTAACTTTGACGCCTGCCCCTGCTGTGGCTACAGTACCACAGCAGGGAGCCTTTTCGGCACCGCCTGCTCCTGCCGTGCATTCACACAAGGGGAGCAGCAGATTACTTAACAGCTATTGCAGCTAAGGATGCAAGTGGGTACTTAATGATATTTTGTAGATCAGCTAGCTTAGTTCATTTCTCCCCCTAAATAAACTACCTGGTATTCCATTCTAGTTTGTTTTAGCAAGTTTTGGGTCTACCCAATGACCCAAACATGTGGGACTTGTATCTTTTGCAGCTAACCACCAACATTGTCATGCTGGTCAATGCGCTCTTATCATTGTGGTTCACAGTGATTGATGTGTCTATATGAGTTCTGGCAAATATTCAACACCATGTTGAGTTCTGAAATTTCTCTTGATATGTGTTAGTTCTTATAGCAAGTGTTAGACCCTTGATACACATCCATCATGCTTCCAATATCTGTATGTATTAGGTAGTGTTGGTCCAACATGATTCTTGGGTTATATTTTTCATAAAGTTGTGATGACATAAAAGAAATTTATCGTATTGATGAACTCTCAATAAATAATAACCAAGTTTGTGAATGTTGCAAGTTTGTATTTTAATGGCGCTTTTGTGCTTAGTTCCAAAATCATACATTATTAAAGAAGTAAATTAGGTTCTGTTACATGTTTTAGTTTGTAGAATATTACTCCCTCCATTTCACAAATATGTTCGGTCCACCTAAATGGCTGTTATATCTGATAGTATCAAATGTGTTCTCGCTAGATAGATGAACACTATAATTATCTAGTAAGAACATGGACAATCCAATTCTATAAAAGGGTGCTTAAATACTGTGCCTCATATGTATGCAGACTGGATAAACATTTGTGAAATGGAGGTAGTATTTTCAGTTAGTTTTAAACAATTGTGATCTTGAATTGATTCATCCTTCTATAATGAACCAACTTTTCTGGTTCATCAGGCAATCTATAAGCATTTTCAGTTGTTATGTCTGTTCCCCATCTGTTTCATGTTTCACTTGCAATTAGCTTTTTTCAACATTGTTCATTCTGCAGAAATCAGTTGACAAACCAAGTTTGGGAGATGAGTTGGATACTTCTGGTCCATCAAAGGAACATGAGAATGATGATCTCAGTACAGAGAAGGAAATGATCCCAGATCTTAAGAGAAGGAAGCATGGAAGACTCAGTAATAGCTTACAGAAGAAGAAGGCTGAGAGGCTCAAGTACCTTGAGAGTAGAAAGGCTGCCAAGGTTGGAAAACAGCGAGATATTAAAAAAGTGCTCCCTTTGCACAGCATTCTGAAGAAGTACACAAAGCATACGTCTGTTAAAATGGTTAAGGAAAAACATGGGAGTTCAAAAGGCCCTGGAGTCATACAACTCTGCCGCAAATCAGTCAAGCGTGTCAAATTCTCAGAAATGGATGATACCAAGAAGCAGTGTTCCAAGAGACCACCACTGGAAAGCATCTGCGAGCTTCTCTCTGCTATTACTTCTTCTTCTTCATCTCTAGAGATGTCAAGTGAAGAGGAACATGTTATTGCAGAAAGTAGTAGTTCTCGCATGCCAAGGAAAGCCTTCACTATGGCAAAGGAAGCCAATGAGAATACAAATCATGATAACCAATATGAGCTTAGCAGTACTGGACTGTCCACTTGTTTGCTTGATCTGAATCAAACTCTTCCAGAACCTACGGACTTAAACGATCCGTATGTTCCAAGTTCAGACGTTTCATATCTTGAGCACACAGAGGTAGGAACTTGGCATGTGGGTCAACAACTTACTGATAATGGAAGAACAAATGATAAAGAATCGTCTTTTGATCTGCATGAACAGGAACAACAACGACATGCTACTGAGTTGGACACCAGATCAAAAGGCAAGTCCCCTTGTACTCTGCCAAACCATTTCCAGGATTCAGTTCATCTGCAACAAAATTGGTGCTCCATGACTTTGCATCGTGGTGTCTCTCATCTCTCAACTGGAGGCGAACCTTCTTCCTTTCAATTTCGAGGATCTAATCTATCACACAGTGAGAAACGAAATTTTCATTCAGAAATGAACGTGCAACAAGAATCCAGTCCTGCTGGACGAACCTTGCGCTTGATGGGTCATGATCTTACAGTATCCAATACTAGAGTTGACTATGTATCTGACGCAGCACAGAATCATACAAATCCTACTGCAGACCATCTTACCACAAAGGTGGTGTTGGAATTGCCACGACAAGGTCAGCCTTTCCTATCATTACAAACTCAGAGTATTCCCAGTGTTTCAGCAAGTTCTGCAAATGCTGTAACTCATGTTTCGTCAAGTTCTGCAAGCGCAGTAGCTCATGTTTCAGCAAGTTCTGCAAGCACAGCTCAGGTACATTTTGGATACAGAACACCACATAACGTCAGCCACCCTTTGTTCACTGCCAATGTGCTCTCTGGTGATCCATCAGTATATGAAGACAGGTGCAGGGACTTTACAAACTTGCAATCGCATCGAAATTCTCTATTGGGATATCCACCTCTTTCCAATCATGGCGGTGCTGCATTTCTTCAGAATTCACCACCTTGGCGTTATTACTCTGATCATTCCACTAGGACAGATTCACCCTCAGTGCCATTTACACCAACAATGATGCAGCATGTGGCAACATCTTCAGATTACCGTGCCAATCTTCCTCATCAGTCATATGGTGTGTACTCTGCAAGCTCAACAGTTCAACCTCGTAGCTCTGCAAGTTTGACATGCCCAAACCAGATAGTACAAGGAGTTGACAGTAGGGTTTGTGCAAACCTTCCATCCAGAAGTCCAGGAACTGGAACGACAAGAGCTGCTCCTGACAACTCTAATACTTCATCTAGCAGCCGTTTTGTTCTGAGATCAGGCCCTGTAAAGCTCAGTGCCGGGGCGAAGCATATCCTGATACCAAATGAGAATACAGAGGACGACAATTTTGCACCAATGTACTCTTGTGTATCCTTTGGCAGCAGTGGTGGAAATGTTTCGGCAGCTCATCAGAATAAAGGAGCAGGTTCCCGTAGGTTCTAGTCCAAAAGCTGGATTATCTTGCTCGTCTGTTTTCTGGACTGCTGCTGAGCAAGAGGCTACATATTTTGAAGGTATGGCTATTCACTATTTATTCTGTTGTTTAGGACCTGTTTGGATCTACTAAGGATTATAAGAATCCAAATAGTAGAATTGAAGGAGATAGTGGATTGCTGAAAATTGGGTGGTTATCTAGTTATCCACGCTAGAATGAGGGGTGTTTGGATCTCATTCTTATATTTGTAGCTGGTTCTTATAATCTATAGTAGATCCAAACGCACCCTTAGTTGTTGTGTTATCTTTTTACAACATTGCAGTTGCTTCACTGCATTTCAGCAAATGGTTGGATTCATTTAGTTCTAAATAAATGTTTTTTTTCCCTCGCTTTATACTATGAAGTGGCGTACTGTTTACTGAAAATCAGACTCTAGATTTCACGGCTTTGCATACCTTTTTCCTAAAAAAAAAGAAGGATGAAGAAAGGAATTGTTGGCCGAAGTATGTCGATCTGTAACTTTTTCAAATTATTACTTCAATTTCCTGCTGTGTGCGATGCTGTTCTTGACGTTATTAAATAAAAAACTATAACTAAAGTTTTACGAGAAGCTTTAAAGTGTCTGAAAATCTCCAGAGTAGGCACAATTTCTTATAAGTTTTCCACTGAAAAAAAAGATATTCTTTTTTGTTGACCAAAGTGCAAAAGAATGCTACTTGACCACTGTGGAAAAAAAAGATATTCTTTTTTGTTGACCAAAGTGCAAAAGAATGCTACTTGTCCACTGTGGAAAAAAAGATATTCTTTTTTGTTGACCAAAGTGCAAAAGAATGCTACTTGATACTAAAGGAATGCCATCTTCCATCTGTGTATACACGCGTATATACCAAATTTCAAATTGTTTCGCTCATGTACAAGGCTCAATCTCTTCGGCCCAAATATCCATCTTTGACTGTGACCACAAATGGTAGGTACTCCTAGTCTCTAGTCAGAGTTGTTGCCCATCCCACGGTCATGGGCGTGACCAATCGTTGGAATCTGTCGGTTGCTGCATCATCGGCATCCGTAGCTCTGCTGTTGGCTGCACGTTTCAGCGTCAGCTTTGCTTCTGCTCGCATATCTCAGAGAGAGAGAGAGAGAGAGAGGCTCTGCATCCCTCTGTGTCTGCTTTTATGCTGTCACTATAGATTGGTCAGGTTACTAAAAACCACACCATTCACACCCTTCAGCCCTGATATTCGATTTCAGATCGTGGTTCAGTGCTATGCAAATACTGATGCCAAGACTTGACCATGAACCAAACCACTGTAATTCTGTAAATCGTTGACAAGCCTAAAATTAAAACGAGCCAGTTTTATCAAATTTCTTTCTCCTCCTTTGCTTTCATGTCAAGCCTAAAAATGATGCTTTATTTTAGGTTCTTCAATAATCATTGTGCTTTATGCAGACTAACATCTTTTCCTGCTCACTGTTTTTTAAAGGAATTGAAGCTGATGGCCTAGACAATTGATGACGAATTGACGATGGTGATGTGAAGATGCAATGCGCAGTTTGGAGGATTACCTGAGCCCGTCTTAAAGGAGGGTACTTAGTTTTGTTCTGTGGCCTGGGAGACTTTGACAGATCCTTTTTAGTTCTGCAGTTTAACATTTTTTTAAACGACTAGTGCGCTCAGGTTGTGCAGCGTGTGAACTTGTAGGGGCACACCTGTGTTAGTTTGATCTGCAACGATTGGCCCAACGGCCAATCGGACCCCTTAACCGCGTCCCGATTGGGGACGCTTAACCGACCACTAGTCGGCGGGCCCCTGTTACACACACAGCGCTATAAGTAAAGAGAAAGGTGGGGGACAGGGCACACGAGACAAGGTTCACCACCGCCACTAACCCACCAAAGAAACCCTAGAAGGCCCTATCCGATCGCGGGCGCGCTGCAGTGACGGGAAGCACCGCCGGACGCGTCGTCGTCCTCAGGACTCAACCGCGCCTAAGCTGCTACGACACTGGTGGCCACATCGCTGTCACGCCATGGCCGCAACTGCCCTAAGGTGAGGTACATCACCAAGTTTTCCCATCTAAGTCAAGTTTGTCCCCTGATCTACGATTTTAGAGGTACTATATCCTACCAATGGTACCAGAGCCAGGCCATCTAGTGTGTAGATCTAGTGTTGGGGTAGAAAAGAAGAACGATTTGAGAAAGAAGATGGACAAATCGAAAGAATGCAAATCGGGTTTAACCCTAACCCTAACTCCAAGAAACCGGACGGACGGGACAGGGGCCTACCTGGGGCTCACCTACCGTTGCCACCACCGTCGGCGTTGCTTCGATGTCGCGCGGGAAGAACTACCCAAGCCGTCGGCCGTGAGGTCATGCCACCGCGCGGCCTACGCCTCGGGCTTTGGGGTCAAGGGTGCAGCCACAAGGCCGCTCGACGATGACGCGCTCAGCCTTGGGCGAGTGCGCGCGCCGGCGAGGGGCCCCGCAGCGGCGCCGCCACCTTTCTTTTTCTCTGGCCGCCACGGGTTGCCGTCGCGTCGTGGTCGTCTCTAACTGCGGCGCTGAGGAAGAGAAGGGGAAGGGGAAGAGAAAGATGAAATGGAAGGGGAGCCAGATGAAAGGATCTAATAATGCCTAGAGGGGGGGTGAATAGGCGTATCTAAAAATTAACTGCAAATGCTAAGTTTAAATTTGTCAGTCAATGTCGGAAGTCCCGGCGTTTGGGTCGGAACTCCCGACATCGTTAGAAGTTTCGGCGCAAACGTCAGTAGTCCCAACGCCTATGTGAACTACAAAAGCAGTGCCAAATTTAACTTTGTGGATAAATAATCTTACAACCCCACTTCCTAGTGGTTTGGTGAAGATGTAGGGTCACTCCCTTGATGCCGTAATGCCTTCAAACCGTAGATCGAGTCCAAACCCTAAAATGAAAGTTTGGGAGAGAAAGAGACAAACAAATACAAGTAATCTCTAGCAATCACAACAAGAAGCACACGGGACACAAGGATTTAACCCGAGGTTCGACAACCCCACAAAGGAGCTCCTACGTCCTCGTTGTTGAGGTGACCACCAAGGTCGGAGTCTCTTCCACCTCCTTGCCTCTCTCAAAGCGACCACAAAGGTCACTTGAGCTTTCCACTAAGAAATCAAAGGGCAATACAAACTTCCCAAGGCTCTTCCACAAGATTGAAGCTCTTGGGCAATGCCTAGCTGGCTAGGGGTAAAGCCCCAAGAGTAATAGATGCAAAACCAACCGGCTTGACGAAGAAATCAAGTGCTCAAGCTTTCCAAAGTGATGCTCTCACTTAATCCACTCTCCTTTCACTCAAAACCCTAAGGGAATCGAAGATTGGAGCAAAGGGGGAGGAGAGGGGTGCTTTAGTTGCTTGGGAACTATTGAGCACGAAGTGGGTCAGCTGTGAATGAGTCTGTAACGGTTAGAAGTGAAGAGAGGAGTATTTATACTCTTAGTAGAAATCTAACCGTTCCGATCTACGTCGGAAGTTTCGATGCAGATCTCGAGACTTCCGACGTTAACAGAAAACACTGTTCACGAAGGGTCAGAAGTACGCGCGAGCAGGTTAGTGTCAGAACTCCCGACAAATATCGAGACTTCCGACGAGCTCAGTCAGTCAACCAGTAAAGCTCTAGGTGTCGGGACTCCCGGCAAGGTTCGAGACTTCCGCTGGGCGCAGACAGCCAGCCAGCAGAACCACCGGTGTCGGGACTCCCGGCTTGGGTCGGGAGTTCCGACTTACGTCGGGACTTTCGACACCGACAGTCACAGAAAAAATAATCTATGTGCTCGTGGAGTGCTAGAGTGTCTCTCTATTGATTTTATTTTTATGCTTGAGCACTCTATCATCCTCAGACCAACTAAGTTTGCATCCCTCTTTATAGTGCGGCGGATCCTAAACTCAAAAGCAAAAATAAAAGCTTTGGAGAGCGCTTTGAGTTCGTCCACCTTTACAACTTCAAAACAAATTGAGGGATACCATTTCATCTTTATCAACTCTTTGATTCTTTTATGGGACTAATAGTTGCAACATATCTCATTAAGATCACATTATTCCCTAATTTGGATGTCATCAATACACCAAAACTCACATAGGGGGCAAATGCACTTTCAATCTTCCCCTTTTTGGTAATTGATGACAACCAACTTAGGCTTTTATAAGAATGAAAGAATTTAAAGCTTTTGAACCCCAAAATTTATGAAGAGCTCCCCCTTGATGTATGCATGAATTTGAATATCAATTAGAATCATCTATACATGATTTGCATACCTCAAGACAAAAGCTCCCCCTAAATTTTGCAATCCGTGGGGTGCAACAAATGTGTGTGAACAAATATATATCCGTGAAAAGAAATGCAATATGACATGTTATTTCACACAAGTAAAAGAGAATATGACGGCCAAGATTTCAAAATAGAATTTGAAGCAACACATGGCCATCCAAAAAAACATTCACCATCATAAGTAGAGACAAATTATAAGCTAATAAGATAAATAGATAACCATAACTTGTCCTACAATCATTTATCACTGAAAGCATCTAGGCCCCTAGTTGGGTTTCGGTGATTAATGATAATACATGATTACTGTGACTAACGTGTGTTTTGCAGAGGCAATTAAGTTAGGTCACGGTAATGGAGATCGATTGGGCTATCATGGTGGTCATGCCCCTACGATGGAAATCGTTTCGGTTTTCAAAGGATGGACGACAAGGTTAAGGATGGACTAGTTCTAAGTGTCGTTTGGTGTTGAGGAGACACTTAGAGTAGTTTAGGACTTTGTTTTTCCTTTGGCCGTACTATTAAGGGGGGTATGGACAGGTAGCTTGACCTAGGTGAGTCTAGTGGGTTAGGTGTGGTGTACACTTGTTAAATCTAGCACTAGGTAGCTCCTAAAAAGCCCTTAGATCCATTGGAGCAAACTTCATTCACGCTGGTTCCGGTGTGACCGGACGCTGACGCAGAGTCCGGTCAGTTCATTTGACCAAGGTGATTT